TCGTGATGTTCAGCATTTTTCCATGTGCCTATTAACTCATACTGGAAGTACTCTTTCTAGTCTGGTTCTTCAAGTTGAAAAACTTTCAAGTTCTTGCAATCATCAATAACATGTTCCATTTTCTTGTTGAATAGTATTCTCTCGGATGGATGCACCATTTGTATATTGGTTTACCATTTGAATAACATTTGAGTTCTTGCCAGTTTGGGGCTATTATTAATAGAGCCACAGTAAACATTGGCATGAAGCGTTTTATGTGAAGAGAAATTCATGTTTTACGCGGGAGTTATTTTCGGAATGGGATTACAAAGTTTTCCAGTGTGCAGATATTTATGAGCAATGAAAAACATTTCCCAAAATGTCTTTATCATTTTGCCTTCTGATGAGTCATTGAGGAGAGTTTCAGTTTCTCTCTTTTCCTGAGAGTTGTTTATGTTCTCAGTTATTTTATTTCTTTTATCCAAGATACAGTTTGCATACTTAATATGCATTCGGTACTAATTACTAATTATTTTATTTAATTTTAGGTGTTTATGAGTCACCTGTACAACGTATGTCCTATCTATGTCAAGCAATTGCTATTCAAATATTTTCCCACATTTAATTGGATTATTTGTTCTCTTACTAGTGAGTTTCAGAGCTCTTATGTATTATGGTTATAATATATTTTGTATGAATATTGATGTGTATGTGTGGGTGTTTGTGTGTATGTAAAATATATCTGTATTTGCATAACCAGCTGAAGAGAGAAAACTATTCTGTAAACTTGAAGGAATTCCCTAATACCACAGTGTTATATTCTTTGTCCATAATCCCTTATGACTACTGATTTCTTTTCCGTGTCTCTAATTTTTTCATTTTGAGAATAATATGTATGTGGAATCATAAAGTACATGTCGTTTTAAGATTGGCCTCCGTTTTACTTTGGCATGCACTTGAGATTCATCCAAGTTGTTACATGTATTAATATTTTCTTCCATTTTTGATGATAAATATTACTGGTATGGTTAACTGTGTTACAGATATGGTGGTATGGTTATGTAACTATGGTTAAAACCACAGTTGAACCATTCACTCATTGAAGGACCTCTAGCCTCTCTACATTTTTAGCTATGACAAGCAAAGTTTCAATGAAAATTCATGTAAAAGCTTTTATGTTCCTTTCTCTAAAATAAATATGCAGGAATAGAGTTTCTGGGTCAAATCATACTTGAATGTTTATAGCATGTTGTATAATAAAGTGTCAAATTGTTTTTCAGGAGAGCTGTACCATTTATACTCTCACAAGAAATGTATGAATAACCAGTTTCTCTGCATCCTTGCCACCTTATTGTGTGGTCATGTGTTAACAATGTGTAGCCACTTTGACAGATAGAGAGCAGTTAGAACTCTTGATAGTTTCCCTGTGCATTTCCGTCATAGCCAATATGCTCAGCATCTTTGCCTGTGCTTCTTGGCCATTGCTGTGACTTCGTTGGCCAAGTGTTTGTTCAAGTCTTTCAATGATCTTGATCATTTTCTATTGAGTGTCTCTTTTCACCTGATGACTTTTAGATTTTTCAATAAGTGTTTTTCATTCCCAGTGAGTTTCCATGCAATTATATTTGTTGGAGTTTTGCACATGTCAAATTATTAATATTTTATGTTTATGCATTCTGACACAATGGATTTAGCCTAAATTTGAGGAACATTAGTTTCTGCATTTCTTTTTTCTAGAACTATAAGCTATTTTTACTTTATCTATGTACGTTTGCTTTTCCATATATATGCCAATATATACATGTATAAGTTTCTCTGTGTAAGTCAGGATAGTATACAAAGGCCACATCCTATATATAGGATACATCAATAGAAAAGATTCTACTTGTTTTGCTCTTTGAGAAGGACCCTAGCTCTGAAAAATAATGTTAATAAAGAAATGCAGGGAAGTCGAGTATTGATTTATGGAATAGACAGAGTTTCTTGGTAAGACAGCCATTCAAAAGTCTATCAAGTACTGGTATGGTTATACAGCTGAATGTAAGCACTTTATTAATCTAAAGCTTTTTTAAAAAAAATTAATGTTTAGGTATGGAGCTTCTATAAATAGGAAAGTATTATCACATATTAAATTAAGAGCTTTGGGGAAATGTTCAATCAGAAAATCATGAAATATACTGACAATGTTGGTATAATTGCAGGTTGGAGCAGACATTCATGAATAATGTATAGAACTGCAGTGTTTAGAAGGTTGGGGATGAGATTTCGGAAAGGATCCATATCATTATTAGTATTGATCTATATAGAAAACTAAATTGTTCATCAGTATTTGTATCAGTGTAATTATAAATAAATTGATGTCTTCAGAAGAAAAAGTTCATGTCTACATTATATATCACAAACTAGAAATCTGTCTTCCATTTGAGCCATGCTAGCTCGTCGGAAATGAATAGTCTTTTAACGTCAAATAGAATTGAGGACCAGTAAGAAGGGAAAATATTTCATCCTTTGACTTGATCCATCATGACTGAAGACAGATTCTGAAAGTTCTATAGAGATCACAGAAGGAGAACAAATAATTACATAATTTGCATGGAAATTCAAAATCTTTGTATAGCCAAAGCAATGTTGTGAAAGAAGCATGGAATTGGAGGAACCAAGCTGCCTGACTTCAGGCTATACTACAAAGTTACAGTCATCAAGACAATATGGAACCAGCAGAAAGACAGAAATACAGGTCAGGAACAAAATGGAAAGCCCAGAGATAAATCCACCCACCTATGGACACCTTGTCTTTGACGGAGGAGGCAAGAGTATACAATGGAGAAAAGACAATCTCTTTAACAAGTGGTACTGGGAAAACTGGTCAGCTACTTGGAAAGAATGAGACTAGAAGACTTTCTAACCCCATGTACAAGAATAAACTCAAAACGCATTAAAGATCTAAATGTAAGACCAGAAACTATAAAACTCCTAGAGGAAAACATAGGCAAAAGACTCTTTGACATAAATGGCAGCATCGTCCTCAAGGACCCACCTCCCAGAGGAATGGAAATAAAAGCAAAAAATAAATGAATAGGACCTAATTTAACTTAAAAGCTTTTGCACAACAAAGAAAGTATAAGCAAGATGAAAAGACAGGCTTCAGAATGGGAGAAAATCATAGCAAATGAAGCAATGGACAATGAATTAATCTCAAAAATATGCAAGCAGCCCCTGAAGCTCAATTCCAGAAAAATAAATGATCCATTCAAAAAACGGGCCAAAGAACTAAACAGACAGTTCTCCAAAGAAGACATCCAGATGGCTAACAAACACATGAAAAGATGCTCAACATCACTCATTATCAAAGAAATGCAAATCAAATCCACGATGAAGGACCATCTCACGTTGGTCAGAACGGCTCCTATCAAAAAGTCTACAAAGAATAAGTGCTGGAGAGGAACAGTGTGGAGATTCCTCAGAAATTGGAAATGGAACTTCCCTACAACCCAGGAATCCCGCTGCTGGGCATACACACTAAGGAAACCAGAATTGAAAGAGACGCGAGTACCCCAATATTCATCACAGTACTGTTTATACTAGCCAGGACATGGAAGCAACCTAGATGTCCATGGGCAGACGAATGGATAAGCATCCATGCTTCACATGCACAGTGGAATATTACTCAGCTATTAAAAAGAATGCATTTGCATCAGTTCTAACGAGATGGATGAAGTGGGGGCCTATTTTAGACTGAAGGAAGTTAGAAAGAAAAACACCAATCCAGTATATTAATGCATATAAATGGAATTTAGAAAAATGATAACAATGACCCTATATGTGGGACAGCAAGAGAGACACAAAGGTAAAAACAGACTCTTGGACTCAGTGAGAGAAGGTGACAGTGGGATGATTTGAGCAAATAGCATTGAAACATGTATGTGAAACAGATTTCCACTAGAGCTTGGATGCATGAGGCAGGGTGCTCTGGGCTTTTGCGGTGGGAGGATCCTGAGGGATGGGATGGGGAGGGAGGCGAGAAGGGGGTTCAGGATGGGGAACACATGTACATCCATGGCTAGTTCATGACAAAATATGGCAAAACCACTATAATATTGTAAAGTATTTAGCCTCCAAATGAAATAAATCAATTAAAATGAAAGAACTTAAAAAAAAGAAAAACAGGCAGCACACCCAGGGGTCTTTCACTCATACATTTTAAATCACATTCAGTGACTGACTTTGAATCATCAGTGGGGTCACCCAGTCATTAGAGTGCCAGAAAATGTGAATCAGGCAGCTGCAGTCCAGATCAAAGATGACATATCATTGAGTTCCAATTTGAACACAACTCTTTGGATGCTGATAGTGAAACTCTGTGTTCTGGTTGCTTCTAAATAGTTTTCTGAAGACACCCAGGATTCTCATCATCAGAACCTCTGCCTTATATATCTCCATATTTGTTTAAATTCTCCTTGAGATTTTTAAAACATTTCAACCTGAAAGTTAACACCAAATTTGATATTGCATTCTCTTTCTTTTAAACCATGATAAACTTCTAGAAGTTGGACTCACAAAAGACTTTATTTATCCATCATCAGTGCAGACTCCTAACCCACTCCACACCTCTACTCTCTGGCTAACTGGGGACCCGAGGGTCTGTTCCCCAACTTCTCAGGACCACATACCCCTCCCGTTTCCAGTGCCCACCTCTTCTCTTCTTTCTCTCCCTTCCATCAGAAAACTCACACACACACAAATATCATCTTTTCACCCTTTGAGATTTCTTTTATTTGCAGCCATCAGCTTACTATGTTAGTGTGAGAGTCTTTTTTGGTTGGCCATTGCTAACAAAGCAGACCCCTGGAGACACAATTCTAAACTGTCTGACCTTTGCTATTCATTAACTGGCTGCCAACATTGTACTTCTCCAGGGTCTCTTATTTTGGGGCGGCTGAGCTTATTTTCTCTTTGGATTCTGCCTCCTTCCATGACGTTGCCTCATATTTTGGTAGCTTTTTCAGCTTTGATTTGATTTCTTACGTCCACAGCCAGAGAAGAATCGGTTTGCTTTTCTTGTTTTCTTTGGCTTCGTCGATTGAGTGGCATACGATCGGATTTTCTTTCTGAAGGTCCCTTGTGGAGGTCTTCTGACCCTCATGGTCATATTTCGTGCCTGGAAGACAAGACAAGGGTATCAGTATGGAGGAAAGGCCATAAAAACTGAGGTGGAAGGGAGATTTCATGAGAAAGAAATGTGAGCTAATGGGGACATTTGTGCCAGGCATGGGCAGGGTAGAGGTCTTGGGCAGCAAAGTCAATGCAGAACATGGGAAGCTTAGTTGGAATCTTCTTACCTTCACACCACGTCTGCCCCTCTTTGACAAAGGGTCTTCTTCATTCCATTCTTCCTTGAAGCAAACCGAATTGCACCTCTTCTTGACGGCCGTGGCTTCCTGGTTGCCTTAGTCATGATGGTGCCAAGAAGTGGCCTAACCCAGACTTTCAGCCTCTGACCTCCCTATTTATACCCTTTGAGGACAATGAAGAGCCACACCCTTCAATCTGATTGGTCTGTTAGGCACTGCCCCAGCCAATAGTAGCTTGTGGGGCTTAGACATCACAATGCACCACTGTGACCATCAACATGGGCTAGTGGATGCTGAGGGATACCGTGATATATCTTTCCCACTGCTGACATGTCTGTGTGCCTGATTCTGGGGAGTGGTGATTCAGGGGCCTGATGCTTCTCCTCATGACCTTAAAACTTCCTTTGCATTCCCTTTATCCTTTGACTTATATGTGCCACTTCATCCGTCATGCCTCTTTCATCCCTCTAGGTACATCTGCCAAACATTTTCTGTCCCAATTCATCCCTTCAGCGTCCTCTAAGCACTTCATCTCTAGATCACCTTCTGCCTCTTGGGGATTCCTGAGGGGCTTAAGGAACTTAAGAGAAGGCACTTAAAGTGGACAAAGCTAATGAAGAGCAGGTTGGATGTTTTATCTACTGTTGTGAGCTTCAGCGACCCCCAGACTTGGTGAATCCTCAGTCTGTTGCCCAAAGGTCAATATACAGTCTCCATAAGAGTACACATCAGAGCAAAGACAGTTTTAAATGTCTCCTCCACTAAATGTTTTGGGGACACTTCAACTCTCATATTGAGTAGGGAAACTCAACTTGCCCCATTTAGCAGAAAAAAATTCCTGACTTTTGCTTTGTACAAGAGGAAGGTGCTCAAAGTCAAGAATCAGTTCACCACTGCATCGCTGACTCTTGACCGAATCAATTCCCCAGTCACCCCTCCTTGACCGTTATCAGTAGGTAGGGCCCATTGCAGTGCTGACCAATAGCTGGGCAGGGCAAGTACCTGTAGGTAGCTCATTGATAGGTGGTTGCTTGTGGGTGGGGCCAGTGAGGCACTGACCAAAGGCTGAGCAAGTCCTGTTGCCTAGTAACAGGAGGCGGAGTAATAAGGCACAGCAATGGATACCTGGGCAGGGCTCTGCCCATGTTGCTCTGTTACATAAGAACACTTTGGGTCCAGTGTGCTGGCATCTTTTTGACTGACTCCTTTCCAACCTCAGATTTTTATTTCACATGCTTATTTAACTTTTGCCCATCATTCTTTCCGTTCTCTTATCAGGCATTCCTGTCACCAGCGCTTATCTCTATGCCCCTCCAACAGCTGCCACTTGATCACATGTTCCGCATATAGTATACATAGTTCAAAACCAACAAGAACGTGCCGGCCAGCCCACGTTGAAAACTACTTTGAGAAACCTTAACTTCACAGTGATTCCTTTTCTATTTACAGTGTAACAGAGCAGGATGAGCACAGCCCTGAAGAGGGAGCCTTTGGTGTACTCCATTTCAACCCACCCTGTTCCTAGGCAACAGGTGTTGCTCAACCATTGCTTGGTGCCTCAGAGGGCCCCATCCACAAGCAAACAATTGTAAATGAGTGACTGTTAGCTCTCCTGCTCAGCGATTGGGCAGCACTGCAGTGGGCAATGCCCGCAGGTTACTGTCAGTGAGGGACCTTTGGGGAAGCAATTAAGTCAAGGGTGGTGTGGTGGCACTCAGGGGGAGACTGAGGCAATAGGCAGAGTCAGGCCTTCTTCCGGAGGCCCTGGAGCTCATGCCGACTTGGGCCAGTGGGTGAGCTGGAGGGTCCAGGGAATAGCCTGGGGACTACATGCTGTAGCGCTCTTTTGTTCCTCTTTGCTGTCTGCCTTCAGGGTGGTGTTGCCTGCATATCTGAGGTGATTGATACTTCTCCCGGCAATCTTCCAGCTTGTGCTTCATCCAGTCTTGCATTTCTCATGATGTACTCTGCATAGAAGTTAAATAAGCAGGATGACAACATACAGCCTTAACATACCCCTTTCCCAATTTGGAACCAGTCAGATGTTTCATGTCCGGTTCTAACTCTTGCTGCTTTCCCTGCATTCAGAGTTCTCAGGAGGCATGTAAGAGGGCCTGGTATTCCCATCTCTTGAAGGATTTCCCACAATTTGTTCTGATCCACACAAGACAATGCTTGAGCTTAGTCAGGGAAGCAGATGCTTTTCTGGAATTGTCTTGCTTTTTCTATGATCCAACAGATGCTGTCCATTTGATCTCATGTTCCTCTGCCTTTTCATAGTCAAGCTTGAACATCTGGAAATTCTTGGTTCATTTATTGTTGAAGCCTAGCTTGAAGAATGCTCAGCATATTTTAGGTAGTGTGTGAGATGACCCTATCCTCATAGTCATTTCAAATCAAGCTCCTTCTTACATTAGTATGGATTTGTTTTATTTAATTGCAAAAATGGCATCAATTCTTTGGTGTTATGCTTATTTCCCCCTTCACAGGTACTAATTAACTCCCTGTGTTATTTCAGGCATCGTTGTGAGTGCAAGGCGCACATCAGGAGCCAACAACCAGGACCCTGGTTTCATGGGGCATACATTCTGGTCAGTGAGGATGGAAGGTTCATACTAACCACAAATAGTCAATTATACAGAATAGCGAGAACCGTATGAGTTATGAGAAATGGGGAGTCTTTCCTTCCCAGAGGAAATTGATGGAAGGCCTTATGAATGCAGGACATTTAAGCAAAGACTTAATTAAAGAAAAGAGGGAGTGACTTTGTGGCTCTCTTGGGCAATAAAGACTGGGAAAGGAAAAGGCCCGGGCAAAAGCCCCCAAAAGGCATTATCTATGTTCTTCCAAGAAAACAAGGAGGCTGGTGCAAGTGGGACTAGGTGAGTGAGGATGAGACTCAAAAGTGATGAGCTGCTGATGAGAGAGATCAGGGCAGGAAAAGGAGGAATGTAATGGTAAACTTATCTTTCCATTTACATGATGAATTGATTCACCAGACACAAACCACACTGGGCTGTGGTGGTAAAAGGGAGAGGCATTTGTCATAGTCTGATGGCAAGGAGGTGGGAGAGGAGTACTTTTCAGTAAAGACACCCGAGATGAATCCTGAGCCAGCTAAAGTAGATAGATCAAGTGGAAAGCTGTGAAAATGTTTCCAGACAGTGTGGGAGAACATGCCAAGGCACCGAGACCCAAGAGACCTGGCTATACATGCCTTGCATATGACTGGAATCTAAGGTATGATGGGGAAATTGTGAAGAAACATGGCTTTGGAGGAAGAGGGAGGAACTTGAAGCGACACTTGGGCATATGTTAAGTTAATGTCTGGGTTACCCTGCTTTGAAAGAGTATTATTCATATTTTCTAATTGTAAATATACACTCGAGGCAAACCAGTATGGAAATTGCAAAACGGAGTACAAAAATGAAATTAGAGGACACCCATAAGTGTGTCAATAGACATATATACTGTTCATATTCTGCCTTTGTTGTTCTACCTAAACCTTTATAACATATATATTATATGTGTTATATACTGTGAAATATATACATATATTACACAGATATTTAGATGAGCCTATGTACATCAGTGTTTTTTTTAAATTTATACAAATTGAATCAATCTTTATGCTATATTGTAACCTTCCTTTTCTATACCATATGCTGGGAGAATGTTTCCACCTCAACAAACATGTAACTACCAGTATTTCTGAGGATTACTGTGGTGTTCAAATGCTTGCTTATCCCATACTCCATGCAAGTGCTATGAAGACAGGAACCATGTGCATCTTGTTCACTGGTTGCTTCCATATCTCTTCTATTGTAAGGAAGGATGTAATAAACTTTGGGGTATATGTATCTCTTCAAATTAGTGTTCATTTTCTTCTGATGATGAGCTTGGTGTGGAATAGCTGGGCCACATGGGAGATCTATTTTTAGTGTTTTTAAGAAACTCCCACATTGTTTTCCACGGTGAGTGCACATATTTACATTCCCACCAGTTATGTACAAGGGTTTCCTTGAGTCCATATCCTTGCCACCATATGTTATTTTCAGATTTTTGGCTTGATGATAGCCATTCTGACAGCTGTGAGGTGATATCTCCCAGTGATTTTCACTTCTCTTTCTCTAATTATTCGTGATGTTCAGCATTTTTCCATGTGCCTATTAACTCATACTGGAAGTACTCTTTCTAGTCTGGTTCTTTAAGTTGAAAAACTTTCAAGTTCTTGCAATCATCAATAACATGTTCCATTTTCTTGTTGAATAGTATTCTCTCGGATGGATGCACCATTTGTATGTTGGTTTACCATTTGAATAACATTTGAGTTCTTGCCAGTTTGGGGCTATTATTAATAGAGCCACAGTAAACATTGGCATGAAGCGTTTTATGTGAAGAGAAATTCATGTTTTACGCGGGAGTTATTTTCGGAATGGGGTTACAAAGTTTTCCAGTGTGCAGATATTTATGAGCAATGAAAAACATTTCCCAAAATGTCTTTATCATTTTGCCTTCTGATGAGTCATTGAGGAGAGTTTCAGTTTCTCTCTTTTCCTGAGAGTTGTTTATGTTCTCAGTTATTTTATTTCTTTTATCCAAGATACAGTTTGCATACTTAATATGCATTCGGTACTAATTACTAATTATTTTATTTAATTTTAGGTGTTTATGAGTCACCTGTACAACGTATGTCCTATCTATGTCAAGCAATTGCTATTCAAATATTTTCCCACATTTAATTGGATTATTTGTTCTCTTACTAGTGAGTTTCAGAGCTCTTATGTATTATGGTTATAATATATTTTGTATGAATATTGATGTGTATGTGTGGGTGTTTGTGTGTATGTAAAATATATCTGTATTTGCATAACCAGCTGAAGAGAGAAAACTATTCTGTAACCTTGAAGGAATTCCCTAATACCACAGTGTTATATTCTTTGTCCATAATCCCTTATGACTACTGATTTCTTTTCCGTGTCTCTAATTTTTTCATTTTGAGAATAATATGTATGTGGAATCATAAAGTACATGTCGTTTTAAGATTGGCCTCCGTTTTACTTTGGCATGCACTTGAGATTCATCCAAGTTGTTACATGTATTATTATTTTCTTCCATTTTTGATGATAAATATTACTGGTATGGTTAACTGTGTTACAGGTATGGTGGTATGGTTATGTAACTATGGTTAAAACCACAGTTGAACCATTCACTCATGGAAGGACCTCTAGCCTCTCTACATTTTTAGCTATGACAAGCAAAGTTTCAATGAAAATTCATGTAAAAGCTCTTATGTTCATTTCTCTAAAATCAATATGCAGGAATAGAATTTCTGGGTCAAATGATACTTGCATGTTTATAGCATGTTGTATAAGAAAGTGTCAAATTGTTTTCAGGAGAGCTGTACCATTTTATACTCTCACAAGAAATGTATGAATAATCCAGTTTCTCTGCATCCTTGCCACCTTATTGTGTGGTCATGTTTTAACAAGGTGTAGCCACTTTGACAGATAGAGAGCAGTTAGAACTCTTGATAGTTTCCCTGTGCATTTCCGTCATAGCCAATATGCTCAGCATCTTTGCCTGTGCTTCTTTGTCATTGCTGTGACTTCGTTGGCCAAGTGTTTGTTCAAGTCTTTCAATTATCTTGATCATTTTCTATTGAGTGTCTCTTTTCACCTGATGACTTTTAGATTTTTCAATAAGTGTTTTTCATTCCCAGTGAGTTTCCATGCAATTATATTTGTTGGAGTTTTGCACATGTCAAATTATTAATATTTTATGTTTATGCATTCTGACACAATGGATTTAGCCTAAATTTGAGGAACATTAGTTTCTGCATTTCTTTCTTCTAGAACTATAAGCTATTTTTACTTTTTCTATGTACGTTTGCTTTTCCATATATATGCCAATATATACATGTATAAGTTTCTCTGTGTAAGTCAGGATAGTATACAAAGGCCACATCCTATATATAGGATACATCAATAGAAAAGATTCTACTTGTTTTGCTCTTTGAGAAGGACCCTAGCTCTGAAAAATAATGTTAATAAAGAAATGCAGGGAAGTCGAGTATTGATTTATGGAATAGACAGAGTTTCTTGGTAAGACAGCCATTCAAAAGTCTATCAAGTACTGGTATGATTGTACAGCTGAATGTAAGCACTTTATTAATCTAAACCTTTTTTAAAAAAAATTAATGTTTAGGTATGGAGCTTCTATAAATAGGAAAGTATTATCACATATTAAATTAAGAGCTTTGGGGAAATGTTCAATCAGAAAATCATGAAATATACTGACAATGTTGGTATAATTGCAGGTTGGAGCAGACATTCATGAATAATGTATAGAACTGCAGTGTTTAGAAGGTTGGGGATGAGATTTCGGAAAGGATCCATATCATTATTAGTATTGATCTATATAGAAAACTAAATTGTTCATCAGTATTTGTATCAGTGTAATTATAAATAAATTGATGTCTTCAGAAGAAAAAGTTCATGTCTACATTATATATCACAAACTAGAAATCTGTCTTCCATTTGAGCCATGCTAGCTCGTCGGAAATGAATAGTCTTTTAACGTCAAATAGAATTGAGGACCAGTAAGAAGGGAAAATATTTCATCCTTTGACTTGCTCCATCATGACTGAGGACAGATTCTGAAAGTTCTATAGAGATCACAGAAGGAGAACAAATAATTACATAATTTGCATGGAAATTCAAAATCTTTGTATAGCCAAAGCAATGTTGTGAAAGAAGCATGGAATTGGAGGAACCAAGCTGCCTGACTTCAGGCTATACTACAAAGTTACAGTCATCAAGACAATATGGAACCAGCAGAAAGACAGAAATACAGGTCAGGAACAAAATGGAAAGCCCAGAGATAAATCCACCCACCTATGGACACCTTGTCTTTGACGGAGGAGGCAAGAGTATACAATGGAGAAAAGACAATCTCTTTAACAAGTGGTACTGGGAAAACTGGTCAGCTACTTGGAAAGAATGAGACTAGAAGACTTTCTAACCCCATGTACAAGAATAAACTCAAAACGCATTAAAGATCTAAATGTAAGACCAGAAACTATAAAACACCTAGAGGAAAACATAGGCAAAAGACTCTTTGACATAAATGGCAGCATCGTCCTCAAGGACCCACCTCCCAGAGGAATGGAAATAAAAGCAAAAAATAAATGAATAGGACCTAATTTAACTTAAAAGCTTTTGCACAACAAAGAAAGTATAAGCAAGATGAAAAGACAGGCTTCAGAATGGGAGAAAATCATAGCAAATGAAGCAATGGACAATGAATTAATCTCAAAAATATGCAAGCAGCCCCTGAAGCTCAATTCCAGAAAAATAAATGATCCATTCAAAAAACGGGCCAAAGGACTAAACAGACAGTTCTCCAAAGAAGACATCCAGATGGCTAACAAACACATGAAAAGATGCTCAACATCACTCATTATCAAAGAAATGCAAATCAAATCCACGATGAAGGACCATCTCACGTTGGTCAGAACGGCTCCTATCAAAAAGTCTACAAAGAATAAGTGCTGGAGAGGAACAGTGTGGAGATTCCTCAGAAATTGGAAATGGAACTTCCCTACAACCCAGGAATCCCGCTGCTGGGCATACACACTAAGGAAACCAGAATTGAAAGAGACGCGAGTACCCCAATATTCATCACAGTACTGTTTATACTAGCCAGGACATGGAAGCAACCTAGATGTCCATGGGCAGACGAATGGATAAGCATCCATGCTTCACATGCACAGTGGAATATTACTCAGCTATTAAAAAGAATGCATTTGCATCAGTTCTAACGAGATGGATGAAGTGGGGGCCTATTTTAGACTGAAGGAAGTTAGAAAGAAAAACACCAATCCAGTATATTAATGCATATAAATGGAATTTAGAAAAATGATAACAATGACCCTATATGTGGGACAGCAAGAGAGACACAAAGGTAAAAACAGACTCTTGGACTCAGTGAGAGAAGGTGACAGTGAGATGATTTGAGCAAATAGCATTGAAACATGTATGTGAAACAGATTTCCACTAGAGCTTGGATGCATGAGGCAGGGTGCTCTGGGCTTTTGCGGTGGGAGGATCCTGAGGGATGGGATGGGGAGGGAGGCGAGAAGGGGGTTCAGGATGGGGAACACATGTACATCCATGGCTAGTTCATGACAAAATATGGCAAAACCACTATAATATTGTAAAGTATTTAGCCTCCAAATGAAATAAATCAATTAAAATGAAAGAACTTAAAAAAAAGAAAAACAGGCAGCACACCCAGGGGTCTTTCACTCATACATTTTAAATCACATTCAGTGACTGACTTTGAATCATCAGTGGGGTCACCCAGTCATTAGAGTGCCAGAAAATGTGAATCAGGCAGCTGCAGTCCAGATCAAAGATGACATATCATTGAGTTCCAATTTGAACACAACTCTTTGGATGCTGATAGTGAAACTCTGTGTTCTGGTTGCTTCTAAATAGTTTTCTGAAGACACCCAGGATTCTCATCATCAGAACCTCTGCCTTATATATCTCCATATTTGTTTAAATTCTCCTTGAGATTTTTAAAACATTTCAACCTGAAAGTTAACACCAAATTTGATATTGCATTCTCTTTCTTTTAAACCATGATAAACTTCTAGAAGTTGGACTCACAAAAGACTTTATTTATCCATCATCAGTGCAGACTCCTAACCCACTCCACACCTCTACTCTCTGGCTAACTGGGGACCCGAGGGTCTGTTCCCCAACTTCTCAGGACCACATACCCCTCCCGTTTCCAGTGCCCACCTCTTCTCTTCTTTCTCTCCCTTCCATCAGAAAACTCACACACACACAAATATAATCTTTTCACCCTTTGAGATTTCTTTTATTTGCAGCCATCAGCTTACTATGTTAGTGTGAGAGTCTTTTTTGGTTGCCCATTGCTAACAAAGCAGACCCCTGGAGACACAATTCTAAACTGTCTGACCTTTGCTATTCATTAACTGGCTGCCAACATTGTACTTCTCCAGGGTCTCTTATTTTGGGGCGGCTGAGCTTATTTTTCTTTGGATTCTGCCTCCTTCCCTGACGTTGCCTCATATTTTGGTAGCTTTTTCAGCTTTGATTTGATTTCTTACGTCCACAGCCAGAGAAGAATGGTTTGCTTTTCTTGTTTTCTTTGGCTTCGTCGATTGAGTGGCATACGATCGGATTTTCTTTCTGAAGGTCCCTTGTAGAGGTCTTCTGACCCTCATGGTCATATTTCGTGCCTGGAAGACAAGACAAGGGTATCAGTTTGGAGGAAAGGCCATAAAAACTGAGGTGGAAGGGAGATTTCATGAGAAAGAAATGAGAGCTAATGGGGACATTTGTGCCAGGCATGGGCAGGGTAGAGGTCTTGGGCAGCAAAGTCAATGCAGAACATGGGAAGCTTAGTTGGAATCCTCTTACCTTCACACCACGTCTGCCCCTCTTTGACAAAGGGTCTTCTTCATTCCATTCTTCCTTGAAGCAAACCGAATTGCACCTCTTCTTGACGGCCGTGGCTTCCTGGTTGCCTTAGTCATGATGGTGCCAAGAAGTGGCCTAACCCAGACTTTCAGCCCCTGACCTCCCTATTTATACCCTTTGAGGACAATGAAGAGCCACACCCTTCAATCTGATTGGTCTGTTAGGCACTGCCCCAGCCAATAGTAGCTTGTGGGGCTTAGACATCACAATGCACCACTGTGACCATCAACATGGGCTAGTGGATGCTGAGGGATACCGTGATATATCTTTCCCACTGCTGACATGTCTGTGTGCCTGATTCTGGGGAGTGGTGATTCAGGGGCCTGGTGCTTCTCCTCATGACCTTAAAACTTCCTTTGCGTTCCCTTTATCCTTTGACTTATATGTGCCACTTCATCCGTCATGCCTCTTTCATCCCTCTAGGTACATCTGCCAAACATTTTCTGTCCCAATTCATCCCTTCAGAGTCCTCTAAGCACTTCATCTCTAGATCACCTTCTGCCTCTTGGGGATTCCTGAGGGGCTTAAGGAACTTAAGAGAAAGCACTTAAAGTGGACAAAGGTAATGAAGAGCAGGTTGGATGTTTTATCTACTGTTGTGAGCTTCAGCGACCCCCAGACTTGGTGAATCCTCAGTCTGTTGCCCAAAGGTCAATATACAGTCTCCATAAGAGTACACATCAGAGCAAAGACAGTTTTAAATGTCTCCTCCACTAAATGTTTTGGGGACACTTCAACTCTCATATTGAGTAGGGAAACTCAACTTGCCCCATTTAGCAGAAAAAAATTCCTGACTTTTGCTTTGTACAAGAGGAAGGTGCTCAATGTCAAGAATCAGTTCACCACTGCATCGCTGACTCTTGACCGAATAAATTCCCCAGTCACCCCTCCTTGACCGTTATCACTAGGTAGGGCCCATTGCAGTGCTGACCAATAGCTGGGCAGGGCAAGTACCTGTAGGTAGCTCATTGATAGGTGGTTGCTTGTGGGTGGGGCCAGTGAGGCACTGACCAAAGGCTGAGCAAGTCCTGTTGCCTAGTAACAGGAGGCGGAGTAATAAGGCACAGCAATGGCTACCTGGGCAGGGCTCTGCCCATGTTGCTCTGTTACATAAGAACACTTTGGGTCCAGTGTGCTGGCATCTTTTTGACTGACTCCTTTCCAACCTCAGATTTTTATTTCACATGCTTATTTAACTTTTGCCCATCATTCTTTCCGTTCTCTTATCAGGCATTCCTGTCACCAGCGCTTATCTCTATGCCCCTCCAACAGCTGCCACTTGATCACATGTTCCGCATATAGTATACGTAGTTCAAAACCAACAAGAACGTGCCGGCCAGCCCACGTTGAAAACTACTTTGAGAAACCTTAACTTCACAGTGATTCCTTTTCTATTTACAGTGTAACAGAGCAGGATGAGCACAGCCCTGAAGAGGGAGCCTTTGGTGTGCTCCATTTCAACCCACCCTGTTCCTAGGCAACAGGTGTTGCTCAACCATTGCTTGGTGCCTCAGAGGGCCCCATCCACAAGCAAACAATTGTAAATGAGTGACTGTTAGCTCTCCTGCTCAGCGATTGGGCAGCACTGCAGTGGGCAATGCCCGCAGGTTACTGTCAGTGAGGGACCTTTGGGGAAGCAATTAAGTCAAGGGTGGTGTGGTGGCACTCAGGGGGAGACTGAGGCAATAGGCAGAGTCAGGCCTTCTTCCGGAGGCCCTGGAGCTCATGCCGACTTGGGCCAGTGGGTGAGCTGGAGGGTCCAGGGAATAGCCTGGGGACTACATGCTGTAGCGCTCTTTTGTTCCTCTTTGCTGTCTGCCTTCAGGGTGGTGTCGCCTGCATATCTGAGGTGATTGATACTTCTCCCGGCAATCTTCCAGCTTGTGCTTCATCCAGTCTTGCATTTCTCATGATGTACTCTGCATAGAAGTTAAATAAGCAGGATGACAACATACAGCCTTAACATATCTCTTTCCCAATTTGGAACCAGTCAGATGTTTCATGTCCGGTTCTAACTCATGCTGCTTTCCCTGCATTCAGAGTTCTCAGGAGGCAGGTAAGAGGGCCTGGTATTCCCATCTCTTGAAGGATTTCCCACAATTTGTTCTGATCCACACAAGACAATGCTTGAGCCTAGTCAGGGAAGCAGATGCTTTTCTGGAATTGTCTTGCTTTTTCTATGATCCAACAGATGCTGTCCATTTGATCTGATGTTCCTCTGCCTTTTCATAGTCAAGCTTGAACATCTGGAAATTCTTGGTTCATTTATTGTTGAAGCCTAGCTTGAAGAATGCTCAGCATATTTTAGGTGGTGTGTGAGATGACCCTATCCTCATAGTCATTTCAAATCAAGCTCCTTCTTACATTAGTATGGATTTGTTTTATTTAATTGCAAAAATGGCATCAATTCTTTGGTGTTATGCTTATTTCCCCCTTCACAGGTACTAATTAACTCCCTGTGTTATTTCAGGCATCGTTGTGAGTGCAAGGCGCACATCAGGAGCCAACAACCAGGACCCTGGTTTCATGGGGCATACATTCTGGTCAGTGAGGATGGAAGGTTCATACTAACCACAAATAGTCAATTATACAGAATAGCGAGAACCGTATGAGTTATGAGAAACGGGGAGTCTTTCCTTCCCAGAGGATAATGATGGAAGGCCTTATGAATGCAGGACATTTAAGCAAAGACTTAATTAAAGAAAAGAGGGAGTGACTTTGTGGCTCTCTTGGGCAATAAAGACTGGGGAAAGGAAAAGGCCAGGGCAAAAGCCCCCAAAAGGCATTATCTATGTTCTTCCAAGAAAACAAGGAGGCTGGTGCAAGTGGGACTAGGTGAGTGAGGATGAGACTCAAAAGTGATGAGCTGCTGATGAGAGAGATCAGGGCAGGAAAAGGAGGAATGTAATGGTAAACTTATCTTTCCATTTACATGATGAATTGATTCACCAGACACAAACCACACTGGGCTGTGGTGGTAAAAGGGAGAGGCATTTGTCATAGTCTGATGGCAAGGAGGTGGGAGAGGAGTAGTTTTCAGTAAAGACACCCGAGATGAATCCTGAGCCAGCTAAAGTAGATAGATCAAGTGGAAAGCTGTGAAAATGTTTCCAGACAGTGAGGGAGAACTTGCCAAGGCACCGAGACCCAAGAGACCTGTCTATACATGCCTTGCATATGATTGGAATCTAAGGTATGATGGGAAATTGTGAAGAAACATGGCTTTGGAGGAAGAGGGAGGAACTTGAAGCGACACTTGGGCATATGTTAAGTTAATGTCTGGGTTACCCTGCTTTGAAAGAGTATTATTCATATTTTCTAATTGGAAATATACACTCGAGGCAAACCAGTATGGAAATTGCAAAACGGAGTACAAAAATGAAATTAGAGGACACCCATAAGTGTGTCAATAGACATATATACTGTTCATATTCTGCCTTTGTTGTTCTACCTAAACCTTTATAACATATATATTATATGTGTTATATACTGTGAAATATATACATATAATACACATATATTTAGATGAGCCTATGTACATCAGTGTTTTTTTTTTAAATTTATACAAATTGAATCAATCTTTATGCTATATTGTAACCTTCCTTTTCTATACCATATGCTGGGAGAATGTTTCCACCTCAACAAACATGTAACTACCAGTATTTCTGAGGATTACTGTGGTGTTCAAATGCTTGCTTATCCCATACTCCATGCAAGTGCTATGAAGACAGGAACCATGTGCATCTTGCTCCCTGGTTGCTTCCATATCTCTTCTATTGTAAGGAAGGATGTAATAAACTTTGGGGTACATGTATCTCTTCAAATTAGTGTTCATTTTCTTCTGATGTTGAGCTTGGTGTGGAATAGCTGGGCCACATGGGAGATCTATTTTTAGTGTTTTTAAGAAACTCCCACATTGTTTTCCACGGTGAGTGCACATATTTACATTCCCACCAGTTATGTACAAGGGTTTCCTTGAGTCCATATCCTTGCCACCATATGTTATTTTCAGATTTTTGGCTTGATGATAGCCATTCTGACAGCTGTGAGGTGATATCTCCCAGTGATTTTCACTTCTCTTTCTCTAATTATTCGTGATGTTCAGCATTTTTCCATGTGCCTATTAACTCATACTGGAAGTACTCTTTCTAGTCTGGTTCTTTAAGTTGAAAAACTTTCAAGTTCTTGCAATCATCAATAACATGTTCCATTTTCTTGTTGAATAGTATTCTCTCGGATGGATGCACCATTTGTATGTTGGTTTACCATTTGAATAACATTTGAGTTCTTGCCAGTTTGGGGCTATTAATAATAGAGCCACAGTAAACATTGGCATGAAGCGTTTTATGTGAAGAGAAATTCATGTTTTACGCGGGAGTTATTTTCGGAATGGGATTACAAAGTTTTCCAGTGTGCAGATATTTATGAGCAATGAAAAACATTTCCCAAAATGTCTTTATCATTTTGCCTTCTGATGAGTCATTGAGGAGAGTTTCAGTTTCTCTCTTTTCCTGAGAGTTGTTTATGTTCTCAGTTATTTTATTTCTTTTATCCAAGATACAGTTTGCATACTTAATATGCATTCGGTACTAATTACTAATTATTTTATTTAATTTTAGGTGTTTATGAGTCACCTGTACAACGTATGTCCTATCTATGTCAAGCAATTGCTATTCAAATATTTTCCCACATTTAATTGGATTATTTGTTCTCTTACTAGTGAGTTTCAGAGCTCTTATGTATTGTGGTTATAATATATTTTGTATGAATATTGATGTGTATGTGTGGGTGTTTGTGTGTATGTAAAATATATCTGTATTTGCATAACCAGCTGAAGAGAGAAAACTATTCTGTAACCTTGAAGGAATTCCCTAATACCACAGTGTTATATTCTTTGTCCATAATCCCTTATGACTACTGATTTCTTTTCCGTGTCTCTAATTTTTTCATTTTGAGAATAATATGTATGTGGAATCATAAAGTACATGTCGTTTTAAGATTGGCCTCCGTTTTACTTTGGCATGCACTTGAGATTCATCCAAGTTGTTACATGTATTAATATTTTCTTCCATTTTTGATGATAAATATTACTGGCATGGTTAACTGTGTTACAGGTATGGTGGTATGGTTATGTAACTATGGTTAAACCACAGTTGAACCATTCACTCATTGAAGGACCTCTAGCCTCTCTACATTTTTAGCTATTACAAGCAAAGTTTCAATGAAAATTCATGTAAAAGCTTTTATGTTCATTTCTCTAAAATCAATATGCAGGAATAGAATTTCTGGGTCAAATGATACTTGCATGTTTATAGCATGTTGTATAATAAAGTTTCAAATTGTTTTTCAGGAGAGCTGTACCATTTTATACTCTCCAAGAAATGTATGAATAATCCAGTTTCTCTGCATCCTTGCCACCTTATTGTGTGGTCATGTTTTAACAAGGTGTAGCCACTTTGACAGATAGAGAGCAGTTAGAACTCTTGATAGTTTCCCTGTGCATTTCCGTCATAGCCAATATGCTCAGCATCTTTGCCTGTGCTTCTTGGCCATTGCTGTGACTTCGTTGGCCAAGTTTTTGTTCAAGTCTTTCAATGATCTTGATCATTTTCTATTGAGTGTCTCTTTTCACCTGATGACTTTGAGATTTTTCAATAAGTGTTTTTCATTCCCAGTGAGTTTCCATGCAATTATATTTGTTGGAGTTTTGCACATGTCAAATTATTAATATTTTATGTTTATGCATTCTGACACAATGGATTTAGCCTAAATTTGAGGAACATTAGTTTCTGCATTTCTTTCTTCTAGAACTATAAGCTATTTTTACTTTTTCTATGTACGTTTGCTTTTCCATATATATGCCAATATATACATGTATAAGTTTCTCTGTGTAAGTCAGGATAGTATACAAAGGCCACATCCTATATATAGGATACATCAATAGAAAAGATTCTACTTGTTTTGCTCTTTGAGAAGGACCCTAGCTCTGAAAAATAATGTTAATAAAGAAATGCAGGGAAGTCGAGTATTGATTTATGGAATAGACAGAGTTTCTTGGTAAGACAGCCATTCAAAAGTCTATCAAGTACTGGTATGGTTGTACAGCTGAATGTAAGCACTTTATTAATCTAAAGCTTTTTTTAAAAAAAATTAATGTTTAGGTATGGAGCTTCTATAAATAGGAAAGTATTATCACATATTAAATTAAGAGCTTTGGGGAAATGTTCAATCAGAAAATCATGAAATATACTGACAATGTTGGTATAATTGCAGATTGGAGCAGACATTCATGAATAATGTATAGAACTGCAGTGTTTAGAAGGTTGGGGATGAGATTTCGGAAAGGATCCATATCATTATTAGTATTGATCTATATAGAAAACTAAATTGTTCATCAGTATTTGTATCAGTGTAATTATAAATAAATTGATGTCTTCAGAAGAAAAAGTTCATGTCTACATTATATATCACAAACTAGAAATCTGTCTTCCATTTGAGCCATGCTAGCTCGTCGGAAATGAATAGTCTTTTAACGTCAAATAGAATTGAGGACCAGTAAGAAGGGAAAATATTTCATCCTTTGACTTGCTCCATCATGACTGAGGACAGATTCTGAAAGTTCTATAGAGATCACAGAAGGAGAACAAATAATTACATAATTTGCATGGAAATTCAAAATCTTTGTATAGCCAAAGCAATGTTGTGAAAGAAGCATGGAATTGGAGGAACCAAGCTGCCTGACTTCAGGCTATACTACAAAGTTACAGTCATCAAGACAATATGGAACCAGCAGAAAGACAGAAATACAGGTCAGGAACAAAATGGAAAGCCCAGAGATAAATCCACCCACCTATGGACACCTTGTCTTTGACGGAGGAGGCAAGAGTATACAATGGAGAAAAGACAATCTCTTTAACAAGTGGTACTGGGAAAACTGGTCAGCTACTTGGAAAGAATGAGACTAGAAGACTTTCTAACCCCATGTACAAGAATAAACTCAAAACGCATTAAAGATCTAAATGTAAGACCAGAAACTATAAAACTCCTAGAGGAAAACATAGGCAAAAGACTCTTTGACATAAATGGCAGCATCGTCCTCAAGGACCCACCTCCCAGAGGAATGGAAATAAAAGCAAAAAATAAATGAATAGGACCTAATTTAACTTAAAAGCTTTTGCACAACAAAGAAAGTATAAGCAAGATGAAAAGACAGGCTTCAGAATGGGAGAAAATCATAGCAAATGAAGCAATGGACAATGAATTAATCTCAAAAATATGCAAGCAGCCCCTGAAGCTCAATTCCAGAAAAATAAATGATCCATTCAAAAAACGGGCCAAAGGACTAAACAGACAGTTCTCCAAAGAAGACATCCAGATGGCTAACAAACACATGAAAAGATGCTCAACATCACTCATTATCAAAGAAATGCAAATCAAATCCACGATGAAGGACCATCTCACGTTGGTCAGAACGGCTCCTATCAAAAAGTCTACAAAGAATAAGTGCTGGAGAGGAACAGTGTGGAGATTCCTCAGAAATTGGAAATGGAACTTCCCTACAACCCAGGAATCCCGCTGCTGGGCATACACACTAAGGAAACCAGAATTGAAAGAGACGCGAGTACCCCAATATTCATCACAGTACTGTTTATACTAGCCAGGACATGGAAGCAACCTAGATGTCCATGGGCAGACGAATGGATAAGCATCCATGCTTCACATGCACAGTGGAATATTACTCAGCTATTAAAAAGAATGCATTTGCATCAGTTCTAACGAGATGGATGAAGTGGGGGCCTATTTTAGACTGAAGGAAGTTAGAAAGAAAAACACCAATCCAGTATATTAATGCATATAAATGGAATTTAGAAAAATGATAACAATGACCCTATATGTGGGACAGCAAGAGAGACACAAAGGTAAAAACAGACTCTTGGACTCAGTGAGAGAAGGTGACAGTGGGATGATTTGAGCAAATAGCATTGAAACATGTATGTGAAACAGATTTCCACTAGAGCTTGGATGCATGAGGCAGGGTGCTCTGGGCTTTTGCGGTGGGAGGATCCTGAGGGATGGGATGGGGAGGGAGGCGAGAAGGGGGTTCAGGATGGGGAACACATGTACACCCATGGCTAGTTCATGACAAAATATGGCAAAACCACTATAATATTGTAAAGTATTTAGCCTCCAAATGAAATAAATCAATTAAAATGAAAGAACTTAAAAAAAAGAAAAACAGGCAGCACACCCAGGGGTCTTTCACTCATACATTTTAAATCACATTCAGTGACTGACTTTGAATCATCAGTGGGGTCACCCAGTCATTAGAGTGCCAGAAAATGTGAATCAGGCAGCTGCAGTCCAGATGAAAGATGACATATCATTGAGTTCCAATTTGAACACAACTCTTTGGATGCTGATAGTGAAACTCTGTGTTCTGGTTGCTTCTAAATAGTTTTCTGAAGACACCCAGGATTCTCATCATCAGAACCTCTGCCTTATATATCTCCATATTTGTTTAAATTCTCCTTGAGATTTTTAAAACATTTCAACCTGAAAGTTAACACCAAATTTGATATTGCATTCTCTTTCTTTTAAACCATGATAAACTTCTAGAAGTTGGACTCACAAAAGACTTTATTTATCCATCATCAGTGCAGACTCCTAACCCACTCCACACCTCTACTCTCTGGCTAACTGGGGAACCGAGGGTCTGTTCCCCAACTTCTCAGGACCACATACCCCTCCCGTTTCCAGTGCCCACCTCTTCTCTTCTTTCTCTCCCTTCCATCAGAAAACTCACACACACACAAATAAAATCTTTTCACCCTTTGAGATTTCTTTTATTGCAGCCATCAGCTTACTATGTTAGTGTGAGAGTCTTTTTTGGTTGGCCATTGCTAACAAAGCAGACCCCTGGAGACACAATTCTAAACTGTCTGACCTTTGCTATTCATTAACTGGCTGCCAACGTTGTACTTCTCCAGGGTCTCTTATTTTGGGGCGGCTGAGCTTATTTTCTCTTTGGATTCTGCCTCCTTCCATGACGTTGCCTCATATTTTGGTATCTTTTTCGGCTTTGATTTGATTTCTTACGTCCACAGCCAGAGAAGAATCGGTTTGCTTTTCTTGTTTTCTTTGGCTTCGTCGATTGAGTGGCATACGATCGGATTTTCTTTCTGAAGGTCCCTTGTGGAGGTCTTCTGACCCTCATGGTCATATTTCGTGCCTGGAAGACAAGACAAGGGTATCAGTTTGGAGGAAAGGACATAAAAACTGAGGTGGAAGGGAGATTTCATGAGAAAGAAATGTGAGCTAATGGGGACATTTGTGCCAGGCATGGGCAGGGTAGAGGTCTTGGGCAGCAAAGTCAAAGCAGAACATGGGAAGCTTAGTTGGAATCCTCTTACCTTCACACCACGTCTGCCCCTCCTTTGACAAAGGGTCTTCTTCATTCCATTCTTCCTTGAAGCAAACCGCATTGCAACTCTTCTTGACGGCCGTGGCTTCCTGGTTGCCTTAGTCATGATGGTGCCAAGAAGTGTCCTAACCCAGACTTTCAGCCTCTGACCTCCCTATTTATACCCTTTGAGGACAATGAAGAGCCACACCCTTCAATCTGATTGGTCTGTTAGGCACTGCCCCAGCCAATAATAGCTTGTGGGGCTTAGACATCACAATGCACCACTGTGACCATCAACATGGGCTAGTGGATGCTGAGGGATACTGTGATATATCTTTCCCACTGCTGACATGTCTGTGTGCCTGATTCTGGGGAGTGGTGATTCAGGGGCCTGGTGCTTCTCCTCATGACCTTAAAACTTCCTTTGCGTTCCCTTTATCCTTTGACTTATATGTGCCACTTCATACCTCATGCCTCTTTCATCCCTCTAGGTACATCTGCCAAACCTTTTCTGTCCCACTTCATCCCTTCAGAGTCCTCTAAGCACTTCATCTCTAGATCACCTTCTGCCTCTTGGGGATTCCTGAGGGGCTTAAGGAACTTAAGAGAAAGCACTTAAAGTGGACAAAGGTAATGAAGAGCAGGTTGGAGGTTTTATCTACTGTTGTGAGCTTCAGCGACCCCCAGACTTGGTGAATCCTCAGTCTGTTGCCCAAAGGTCAATATACAGTCTCCATAAGAGTACACATCAGAGCAAAGACAGTTTTAAATGTCTCCTCCACTAAATGTTTTGGGGACACTTCAACTCTCATATTGAGTAGGGAAACTCAACTTGCCCCATTTAGCAGAAAAAAATTCCTGACTTTTGCTTTGTACAAGAGGAAGGTGCTCAAAGTCAAGAATCAGTTCACCACTGCATCGCTGACTCTTGACCGAATCAATTCCCCAGTCACCCCTCCTTGACCGTTATCAGTAGGTAGGGCCCATTGCAGTGCTGACCAATAGCTGGGCAGGGCAAGTACCTGTAGGTAGCTCATTGATAGGTGGTTGCTTGTGGGTGGGGCCAGTGAGGCACTGACCAAAGGCTGAGCAAGTCCTGTTGCCTAGTAACAGGAGGCGGAGTAATAAGGCACAGCAATGGCTACCTGGGCAGGGCTCTGCCCATGTTGCTCTGTTACATAAGAACACTTTGGGTCCAGTGTGCTGGCATCTTTTTGACTGACTCCTTTCCAACCTCAGATTTTTATTTCACATGCTTATTTAACTTTTGCCCATCATTCTTTCCGTTCTCTTATCAGGCATTCCTGTCACCAGCGCTTATCTCTATGCCCCTCCAACAGCTGCCACTTGATCACATGTTCCGCATATAGTATACATAGTTCAAAACCAACAAGAACGTGCCGGCCAGCCCACGTTGAAAACTACTTTGAGAAACCTTAACTTCACAGTGATTCCTTTTCTATTTACAGTGTAACAGAGCAGGATGAGCACAGCCCTGAAGAGGGAGCCTTTGGTGTGCTCCATTTCAACCCACCCTGTTCCTAGGCAACAGGTGTTGCTCAACCATTGCTTGGTGCCTCAGAGGGCCCCATCCACAAGCAAACAATTGTAAATGAGTGACTGTTAGCTCTCCTGCTCAGCGATTGGGCAGCACTGCAGTGGGCAATGCCCGCAGGTTACTGTCAGTGAGGGACCTTTGGGGAAGCAATTAAGTCAAGGGTGGTGTGGTGGCACTCAGGGGGAGACTGAGGCAATAGGCAGAGTCAGGCCTTCTTCCGGAGGCCCTGGAGCTCATGCCGACTTGGGCCAGTGGGTGAGCTGGAGGGTCCAGGGAATAGCCTGGGGACTACATGCTGTAGCGCTCTTTTGTTCCTCTTTGCTGTCTGCCTTCAGGGTGGTGTCGCCTGCATATCTGAGGTGATTGATACTTCTCCCGGCAATCTTCCAGCTTGTGCTTCATCCAGTCTTGCATTTCTCATGATGTACTCTGCATAGAAGTTAAATAAGCAGGATGACAACATACAGCCTTAACATATCCCTTTCCCAATTTGGAACCAGTCAGATGTTTCATGTCCGGTTCTAACTCATGCTGCTTTCCCTGCATTCAGAGTTCTCAGGAGGCAGGTAAGAGGGCCTGGTATTCCCATCTCTTGAAGGATTTCCCACAATTTGTTCTGATCCACACAAGACAATGCTTGAGCCTAGTCAGTGAAGCAGATGCTTTTCTGGAATTGTCTTGCTTTTTCTATCATCCAACAGATGCTGTCCATTTGATCTCATGTTCCTCTGCCTTTTCATAGTCAAGCTTGAACATCTGGAAATTCTTGGTTCATTTATTGTTGAAGCCTAGCTTGAAGAATGCTCAGCATATTTTAGGTATTGTGTGAGATGACCCTATCCTCATAGTCATTTCAAATCAAGCTCCTTCTTACATTAGTATGGATTTGTTTTATTTAATTGCAAAAATGGCATCAATTCTTTGGTGTTATGCTTATTTCCCCCTTCACAGGTACTAATTAACTCCCTGTGTTATTTCAGGCATCGTTGTGAGTGCAAGGCGCACATCAGGAGCCAACAACCAGGACCCTGGTTTCATGGGGCATACATTCTGGTCAGTGAGGATGGAAGGTTCATACTAACCACAAATAGTCAATTATACAGAATAGCGAGAACCGTATGAGTTATGAGAAACGGGGAGTCTTTCCTTCCCAGAGGAAATTGATGGAAGGCCTTATGAATGCAGGACATTTAAGCAAAGACTTAATTAAAGAAAAGAGGGAGTGACTTTGTGGCTCTCTTGGGCAATAAAGACTGGGAAAGGAAAAGGCCCGGGCAAAAGCCCCCAAAAGGCATTATCTATGTTCTTCCAAGAAAACAAGGAGGCTGGTGCTAGTGGGACTAGGTGAGTGAGGATGAGACTCAAAAGTGATGAGCTGCTGATGAGAGAGATCAGGTCAGGAAAAGGAGGAATGTAATGGTAAACTTATCTTTCCATTTACATGATGAATTGATTCACCAGACACAAACCACACTGGGCTGTGGTGGTAAAAGGGAGAGGCATTTGTCATAGTCTGATGGCAAGGAGGTGGGAGAGGAGTACTTTTCAGTAAAGACATCCGAGATGAATCCTGAGCCAGCTAAAGTAGATAGATCAAGTGGAAAGCTGTGAAAATGTTTCCAGACAGTGAGGGAGAACATGCCAAGGCACCGAGACCCAAGAGACCTGGCTATACATGCCTTGCATATGACTGGAATCTAAGGTATGATGGGGAAATTGTGAAGAAACATGGCTTTGGAGGAAGAGGGAGGAACTTGAAGCGACACTTGGGCATATGTTAAGTTAATGTCTGGGTTACCCTGCTTTGAAAGAGTATTATTCATATTTTCTAATTGTAAATATACACTCGAGGCAAACCAGTATGGAAATTGCAAAACGGAGTACAAAAATGAAATTAGAGGACACCCATAAGTGTGTCAATAGACATATATACTGTTCATATTCTGCCTTTGTTGTTCTACCTAAACCTTTATAACATATATATTATATGGGTTATATACTGTGAAATATATACATATAATACACATATATTTAGATGAGCCTATGTACATCAGTGTTTTTTTTTAAATTTATACAAATTGAATCAATCTTTATGCTATATTGTAACCTTCCTTTTCTATACCATATGCTGGGAGAATGTTTCCACCTCAACAAACATGTAACTACCAGTATTTCTGAGGATTACTGTGGTGTTCAAATGCTTGCTTATCCCATACTCCATGCAAGTGCTATGAAGACAGGAACCATGTGCATCTTGCTCACTGGTTGCTTCCATATCTCTTCTATTGTAAGGAAGGATGTAATAAACTTTGGGGTATATGTATCTCTTCAAATTAGTGTTCATTTTCTTCTGATGTTGAGCTTGGTGTTGAATAGCTGGGCCACATGGAAGATCTATTTTTAGTGTTTTTAAGAAACTCCCACATTGTTTTCCACGGTGAGTGCACATATTTACATTCCCACCAGTTATGTACAAGGGTTTCCTTGAGTCCATATCCTTGCCACCATATGTTATTTTCAGATTTTTGGCTTGATGATAGCCATTCTGACAGCTGTGAGGTGATATCTCCCAGTGATTTTCACTTCTCTTTCTCTAATTATTCGTGATGTTCAGCATTTTTCCATGTGCCTATTAACTCAAACTGGAAGTACTCTTTCTAGTCTGGTTCTTTAAGTTGAAAAACTTTCAAGTTCTTGCAATCATCAATAACATGTTCCATTTTCTTGTTGAATAGTATTCTCTCGGATGGATGCACCATTTGTATGTTGGTTTACCATTTGAATAACATTTGAGTTCTTGCCAGTTTGGGGCTATTATTAATAGAGCCACAGTAAACATTGGCATGAAGCGTTTTATGTGAAGAGAAATTCATGTTTTACGCGGGAGTTATTTTCGGAATGGGGTTACAAAGTTTTCCAGTGTGCAGATATTTATGAGCAATGAAAAACATTTCCCAAAATGTCTTTATCATTTTGCCTTCTGATGAGTCATTGAGGAGAGTTTCAGTTTCTCTCTTTTCCTGAGAGTTGTTTATGTTCTCAGTTATTTTATTTCTTTTATCCAAGATACAGTTTGCATACTTAATATGCATTCGGTACTAATTACTAATTATTTTATTTAATTTTAGGTGTTTATGAGTCACCTGTACAACGTATGTCCTATCTATGTCAAGCAATTGCTATTCAAATATTTTCCCACATTTAATTGGATTATTTGTTCTCTTACTAGTGAGTTTCAGAGCTCTTATGTATTATGGTTATAATATATTTTGTATGAATATTGATGTGTATGTGTGGGTGTTTGTGTGTATGTAAAATATATCTGTATTTGCATAACCAGCTGAAGAGAGAAAACTATTCTGTAACCTTGAAGGAATTCCCTAATACCACAGTGTTATATTCTTTGTCCATAATCCCTTATGACTACTGATTTCTTTTCCGTGTCTCTAATTTTTTCATTTTGAGAATAATATGTATGTGGAATCATAAAGTACATGTCGTTTTAAGATTGGCCTCCGTTTTACTTTGGCATGCACTTGAGATTCATCCAAGTTGTTACATGTATTATTATTTTCTTCCATTTTTGATGATAAATATTACTGGTATGGTTAACTGTGTTACAGGTATGGTGGTATGGTTATGTAACTATGGTTAAAACCACAGTTGAACCATTCACTCATGGAAGGACCTCTAGCCTCTCTACATTTTTAGCTATGACAAGCAAAGTTTCAATGAAAATTCATGTAAAAGCTCTTATTTTCATTTCTCTAAAATCAATATGCAGGAATAGAATTTCTGGGTCAAATGATACTTGCATGTTTATAGCATGTTGTATAAGAAAGTGTCAAATTGTTTTCAGGAGAGCTGTACCATTTTATACTCTCACAAGAAATGTATGAATAATCCAGTTTCTCTGCATCCTTGCCACCTTATTGTGTGGTCATGTTTTAACAAGGTGTAGCCACTTTGACAGATAGAGAGCAGTTAGAACTCTTGATAGTTTCCCTGTGCGTTTCCGTCATAGCCAATATGCTCAGCATCTTTGCCTGTGCTTCTTTGCCATTGCTGTGACTTCGTTGGCCAAGTGTTTGTTCAAGTCTTTCAATGATCTTGATCATTTTCTATTGAGTGTCTCTTTTCACCTGATGACTTTTAGATTTTTCAATAAGTGTTTTTCATTCCCAGTGAGTTTCCATGCAATTATATTTGTTGGAGTTTTGCACATGTCAAATTATTAATATTTTATGTTTATGCATTCTGACACAATGGATTTAGCCTAAATTTGAGGAACATTAGTTTCTGCATTTCTTTCTTCTAGAACTATAAGCTATTTTTACTTTTTCTATGTACGTTTGCTTTTCCATCTATATGCCAATATATACATGTATAAGTTTCTCTGTGTAAGTCAGGATAGTATACAAAGGCCACATCCTATATATAGGATACATCAATAGAAAAGATTCTACTTGTTTTGCTCTTTGAGAAGGACCCTAGCTCTGAAAAATAATGTTAATAAAGAAATGCAGGGAAGTCGAGTATTGATTTATGGAATAGACAGAGTTTCTTGGTAAGACAGCCATTCAAAAGTCTATCAAGTACTGGTATGGTTGTACAGCTGAATGTAAGCACTTTATTAATCTAAAGCTTTTTTAAAAAAAATTAATGTTTAGGTATGGAGCTTCTATAAATAGGAAAGTATTATCACATATTAAATTAAGAGCTTTGGGGAAATGTTCAATCAGAAAATCATGAAATATACTGACAATGTTGGTATAATTGCAGGTTGGAGCAGACATTCATGAATAATGTATAGAACTGCAGTGTTTAGAAGGTTGGGGATGAGATTTCGGAAAGGATCCATATCATTATTAGTATTGATCTATATAGAAAACTAAATTGTTCATCAGTATTTGTATCAGTGTAATTATAAATAAATTGATGTCTTCAGAAGAAAAAGTTCATGTCTACATTATATATCACAAACTAGAAATCTGTCTTCCATTTGAGCCATGCTAGCTCGTCGGAAATGAATAGTCTTTTAACGTCAAATAGAATTGAGGACCAGTAAGAAGGGAAAATATTTCATCCTTTGACTTGCTCCATCATGACTGAGGACAGATTCTGAAAGTTCTATAGAGATCACAGAAGGAGAACAAATAATTACATAATTTGCATGGAAATTCAAAATCTTTGTATAGCCAAAGCAATGTTGTGAAAGAAGCATGGAATTGGAGGAACCAAGCTGCCTGACTTCAGGCTATACTACAAAGTTACAGTCATCAAGACAATATGGAACCAGCAGAAAGACAGAAATACAGGTCAGGAACAAAATGGAAAGCCCAGAGATAAATCCACCCACCTATGGACACCTTGTCTTTGACGGAGGAGGCAAGAGTATACAATGGAGAAAAGACAATCTCTTTAACAAGTGGTACTGGGAAAACTGGTCAGCTACTTGGAAAGAATGAGACTAGAAGACTTTCTAACCCCATGTACAAGAATAAACTCAAAACGCATTAAAGATCTAAATGTAAGACCAGAAACTATAAAACTCCTAGAGGAAAACATAGGCAAAAGACTCTTTGACATAAATGGCAGCATCGTCCTCAAGGACCCACCTCCCAGAGGAATGGAAATAAAAGCAAAAAATAAATGAATAGGACCTAATTTGACTTAAAAGCTTTTGCACAACAAAGAAAGTATAAGCAAGATGAAAAGACAGGCTTCAGAATGGGAGAAAATCATAGCAAATGAAGCAATGGACAATGAATTAATCTCAAAAATATGCAAGCAGCCCCTGAAGCTCAATTCCAGAAAAATAAATGATCCATTCAAAAAACGGGCCAAAGGACTAAACAGACAGTTCTCCAAAGAAGACATCCAGATGGCTAACAAACACATGAAAAGATGCTCAACATCACTCATTATCAAAGAAATGCAAATCAAATCCACGATGAAGGACCATCTCACGTTGGTCAGAACGGCTCCTATCAAAAAGTCTACAAAGAATAAGTGCTGGAGAGGAACAGTGTGGAGATTCCTCAGAAATTGGAAATGGAACTTCCCTACAACCCAGGAATCCCGCTGCTGGGCATACACACTAAGGAAACCAGAATTGAAAGAGACGCGAGTACCCCAATATTCATCACAGTACTGTTTATACTAGCCAGGACATGGAAGCAACCTAGATGTCCATGGGCAGACGAATGGATAAGCATCCATGCTTCACATGCACAGTGGAATATTACTCAGCTATTAAAAAGAATGCATTTGCATCAGTTCTAACGAGATGGATGAAGTGGGGGCCTATTTTAGACTGAAGGAAGTTAGAAAGAAAAACACCAATCCAGTATATTAATGCATATAAATGGAATTTAGAAAAATGATAACAATGACCCTATATGTGGGACAGCAAGAGAGACACAAAGGTAAAAACAGACTCTTGGACTCAGTGAGAGAAGGTGACAGTGGGATGATTTGAGCAAATAGCATTGAAACATGTATGTGAAACAGATTTCCACTAGAGCTTGGATGCATGAGGCAGGGTGCTCTGAGCTTTTGCGGTGGGAGGATCCTGAGGGATGGGATGGGGAGGGAGGCGAGAAGGGGGTTCAGGATGGGGAACACATGTACATCCATGGCTAGTTCATGACAAAATATGGCAAAACCACTATAATATTGTAAAGTATTTAGCCTCCAAATGAAATAAATCAATTAAAATGAAAGAACTTAAAAAAAAGAAAAACAGGCAGCACACCCAGGGGTCTTTCACTCATACATTTTAAATCACATTCAGTGACTGACTTTGAATCATCAGTGGGGTCACCCAGTCATTAGAGTGCCAGAAAATGTGAATCAGGCAGCTGCAGTCCAGATCAAAGATGACATATCATTGAGTTCCAATTTGAACACAACTCTTTGGATGCTGATAGTGAAACTCTGTGTTCTGGTTGCTTCTAAATAGTTTTCTGAAGACACCCAGGATTCTCATCATCAGAACCTCTGCCTTATATATCTCCATATTTGTTTAAATTCTCCTTGAGATTTTTAAAACATTTCAACCTGAAAGTTAACACCAAATTTGATATTGCATTCTCTTTCTTTTAAACCATGATAAACTTCTAGAAGTTGGACTCACAAAAGCCTTTATTTATCCATCATCAGTGCAGACTCCTAACCCACTCCACACCTCTACTCTCTGGCTAACTGGGGACCCGAGGGTCTGTTCCCCAACTTCTCAGGACCACATACCCCTCCCGTTTCCAGTGTCCACCTCTTCTCTTCTTTCTCTCCCTTCCATCAGAAAACTCACACACACACAAATATCATCTTTTCACCCTTTGAGATTTCTTTTATTTGCAGCCATCAGCTTACTATGTTAGTGTGAGAGTCTTTTTTGGTTGCCCATTGCTAACAAAGCAGACCCCTGGAGACACAATTCTAAACTGTCTGACCTTTGCTATTCATTAACTGGCTGCCAACATTGTACTTCTCCAGGGTCTCTTATTTTGGGGCGGCTGAGCTTATTTTCTCTTTGGATTCTGCCTCCTTCCATGACGTTGCCTCATATTTTGGTAGCTTTTTCAGCTTTGATTTGATTTCTTACGTCCACAGCCAGAGAAGAATCGGTTTGCTTTTCTTGTTTTCTTTGGCTTCGTCGATTGAGTGGCATACGATCGGATTTTCTTTCTGAAGGTCCCTTGTAGAGGTCTTCTGACCCTCATGGTCATATTTCGTGCCTGGAAGACAAGACAAGGGTATCAGTTTGGAGGAAAGGCCATAAAAACTGAGGTGGAAGGGAGATTTCATGAGAAAGAAATGTGAGCTAATGGGGACATTTGTGCCAGGCATGGGCAGGGTAGAGGTCTTGGGCAGCAAAGTCAATGCAGAACATGGGAAGCTTAGTTGGAATCCTCTTACCTTCACACCACGTCTGCCCCTCTTTGACAAAGGGTCTTCTTCATTCCATTCTTCCTTGAAGCAAACCGAATTGCACCTCTTCTTGACGGCCGTGGCTTCCTGGTTGCCTTAGTCATGATGGTGCCAAGAAGTGGCCTAACCCAGACTTTCAGCCTCTGACCTCCCTATTTATACCCTTTGAGGACAATGAAGATCCACACCCTTCAATCTGATTGGTCTGTTAGGCACTGCCCCAGCCAATAGTAGCTTGTGGGGCTTAGACATCACAATGCACCACTGTGACCATCAACATGGGCTAGTGGATGCTGAGGGATACCGTGATATATCTTTCCCACTGCTGACATGTCTGTGTGCCTGATTCTGGGGAGTGGTGATTCAGGGGCCTGGTGCTTCTCCTCATGACCTTAAAACTTCCTTTGCGTTCCCTTTATCCTTTGACTTATATGTGCCACTTCATCCGTCATGCCTCTTTCATCCCTCTAGGTACATCTGCCAAACATTTTCTGTCCCAATTCATCCCTTCAGAGTCCTCTAAGCACTTCATCTCTAGATCACCTTCTGCCTCTTGGGGATTCCTGAGGGGCTTAAGGAACTTAAGAGAAAGCACTTAAAGTGGACAAAGGTAATGAAGAGCAGGTTGGATGTTTTATCTACTGTTGTGAGCTTCAGCGACCCCCAGACTTGGTGAATCCTCAGTCTGTTGCCCAAAGGTCAATATACAGTCTCCATAAGAGTACACATCAGAGCAAAGACAGTTTTAAATGTCTCCTCCACTAAATGTTTTGGGGACACTTCAACTCTCATATTGAGTAGGGAAACTCAACTTGCCCCATTTAGCAGAAAAAAATTCCTGACTTTTGCTTTGTACAAGAGGAAGGTGCTCAAAGTCAAGAATCAGTTCACCACTGCATCGCTGACTCTTGACCGAATCAATTCCCCAGTCACCCCTCCTTGACCGTTATCAGTAGGTAGGGCCCATTGCAGTGCTGACCAATAGCTGGGCAGGGCAAGTACCTGTAGGTAGCTCATTGATAGGTGGTTGCTTGTGGGTGGGGCCAGTGAGGCACTGACCAAAGGCTGAGCAAGTCCTGTTGCCTAGTAACAGGAGGCGGAGTAATAAGGCACAGCAATGGATACCTGGGCAGGGCTCTGCCCATGTTGCTCTGTTACATAAGAACACTTTGGGTCCAGTGTGCTGGCATCTTTTTGACTGACTCCTTTCCAACCTCAGATTTTTATTTCACATGCTTATTTAACTTTTGCCCATCATTCTTTCCGTTCTCTTATCAGGCATTCCTGTCACCAGCGCTTATCTCTATGCCCCTCCAACAGCTGCCACTTGATCACATGTTCCGCATATAGTATACATAGTTCAAAACCAACAAGAACGTGCCGGCCAGCCCACGTTGAAAACTACTTTGAGAAACCTTAACTTCACAGTGATTCCTTTTCTATTTACAGTGTAACAGAGCAGGATGAGCACAGCCCTGAAGAGGGAGCCTTTGGTGTACTCCATTTCAACCCACCCTGTTCCTAGGCAACAGGTGTTGCTCAACCATTGCTTGGTGCCTCAGAGGGCCCCATCCACAAGCAAACAATTGTAAATGAGTGACTGTTAGCTCTCCTGCTCAGCGATTGGGCAGCACTGCAGTGGGCAATGCCCGCATGTTACTGTCAGTGAGGGACCTTTGGGGAAGCAATTAAGTCAAGGGTGGTGTGGTGGCACTCAGGGGGAGACTGAGGCAATATTCAGAGTCAGGCCTTCTTCCGGAGGCCCTGGAGCTCATGCCGACTTGGGCCAGTGGGTGAGCTGGAGGGTCCAGGGAATAGCCTGGGGACTACATGCTGTAGCGCTCTTTTGTTCCTCTTTGCTGTCTGCCTTCAGGGTGGTGTCGCCTGCATATCTGAGGTGATTGATACTTCTCCCGGCAATCTTCCAGCTTGTGCTTCATCCAGTCTTGCATTTCTCATGATGTACTCTGCATAGAAGTTAAATAAGCAGGATGACAACATACAGCCTTAACATACCCCTTTCCCAATTTGAAACCAGTCAGATGTTTCATGTCCGGTTCTAACTCATGCTGCTTTCCCTGCATTCAGAGTTCTCAGGAGGCAGGTAAGAGGGCCTGGTATTCCCATCTCTTGAAGGATTTCCCACAATTTGTTCTGATCCACACAAGACAATGCTTGAGCCTAGTCAGTGAAGCAGATGATTTTCTGGAATTTTCTTGCTTTTTCTATGATCCAACAGATGCTGTCCATTTGATCTCATGTTCCTCTGCCTTTTCATAGTCAAGCTTGAACATCTGGAAATTCTTGGTTCATTTATTGTTGAAGCCTAGCTTGAAGAATGCTCAGCATATTTTAGGTAGTGTGTGAGATGACCCTATCCTCATAGTCATTTCAAATCAAGCTCCTTCTTACATTAGTATGGATTTGTTTTATTTAATTGCAAAAATGGCATCAATTCTTTGGTGTTATGCTTATTTCCCCCTTCACAGGTACTAATTAACTCCCTGTGTTATTTCAGGCATCGTTGTGAGTGCAAGGCGCACATCAGGAGCCAACAACCAGGACCCTGGTTTCATGGGGCATACATTCTGGTCAGTGAGGATGGAAGGTTCATACTAACCACAAATAGTCAATTATACAGAATAGCGAGAACCGTATGAGTTATGAGAAATGGGGAGTCTTTCCTTCCCAGAGGATAATGATGGAAGGCCTTATGAATGCAGGACATTTAAGCAAAGACTTAATTAAAGAAAAGAGGGAGTGACTTTGTGGCTCTCTTGGGCAATAAAGACTGGGGAAAGGAAAAGGCCAGGGCAAAAACCCCCAAAAGGCATTATCTATGTTCTTCCAAGAAAACAAGGAGGCTGGTGCAAGTGGGACTAGGTGAGTGAGGATGAGACTCAAAAGTGATGAGCTGCTGATGAGAGAGATCAGGGCAGGAAAAGGAGGAATGTAATGGTAAACTTATCTTTCCATTTACATGATGAATTGATTCACCAGACACAAACCACACTGGGCTGTGGTGGTAAAAGGGAGAGGCATTTGTCATAGTCTGATGGCAAGGAGGTGGGAGAGGAGTAGTTTTCAGTAAAGAAACCCGAGATGAATCCTGAGCCAGCTAAAGTAGATAGATCAAGTGGAAAGCTGTGAAAATGTTTCCAGACAGTGAGGGAGAACATGCCAAGGCACCGAGACCCAAGAGACCTGGCTATACATGCCTTGCATGTGACTGGAATCTAAGGTATGATGGGAAATTGTGAAGAAACATGGCTTTGGAGGAAGAGGGAGGAACTTGAAGCGACACTTGGGCATATGTTAAGTTAATGTCTGGGTTACCCTGCTTTGAAAGAGTATTATTCATATTTTCTAATTGTAAATATACACTCGAGGCAAACCAGTATGGAAATTGCAAAACGGAGTACAAAAATGAAATTAGAGGACACCCATAAGTGTGTCAATAGACATATATACTGTTCATATTCTGCCTTTGTTGTTCTACCTAAACCTTTATAACATATATATTATATGTGTTATATACTGTGAAATATATACATATAATACACATATATTTAGATGAGCCTATGTACATCAGTGTTTTTTTTTAAATTTATACACATTGAATCAATCTTTATGCTATATTGTAACCTTCCTTTTCTATACCATATGCTGGGAGAATGTTTCCACCTCAACAAACATGTAACTACCAGTATTTCTGAGGATTACTGTGGTGTTCAAATGCTTGCTTATCCCATACTCCATGCAAGTGCTATGAAGACAGGAACCATGTGCATCTTGCTCCCTGGTTGCTTCCATATCTCTTCTATTGTAAGGAAGGATGTAATAAACTTTGGGGTACATGTATCTCTTCAAATTAGTGTTCATTTTCTTCTGATGTTGAGCTTGGTGTGGAATAGCTGGGCCACATGGGAGATCTATTTTTAGTGTTTTTAAGAAACTCCCACATTGTTTTCCACGGTGAGTGCACATATTTACATTCCCACCAGTTATGTACAAGGGTTTCCTTGAGTCCATATCCTTGCCACCATATGTTATTTTCAGATTTTTGGCTTGATGATAGCCATTCTTACAGCTGTGAGGTGATATCTCCCAGTGATTTTCACTTCTCTTTCTCTAATTATTCATGATGTTCAGCATTTTTCCATGTGCCTATTAACTCATACTGGAAGTACTCTTTCTAGTCTGGTTCTTTAAGTTGAAAAACTTTCAAGTTCTTGCAATCATCAATAACATGTTCCATTTTCTTGTTGAATAGTATTCTCTCAGATGGATGCACCATTTGTATATTGGTTTACCATTTGAATAAGATTTGATTTCTTGCCAGTTTGGGGCTATTATTAATAGAGCCACAGTAAACATTGGCATGAAGCGTTTTATGTGAAGAGAAATTCATGTTTTACGCGGGAGTTATTTTCGGAATGGGATTACAAAGTTTTCCAGTGTGCAGATATTTATGAGCAATGAAAAACATTTCCCAAAATGTCTTTATCATTTTGCCTTCTGATGAGTCATTGAGGAGAGTTTCAGTTTCTCTCTTTTCCTGAGAGTTGTTTATGTTCTCAGTTATTTAATTTCTTTTATCCAAGATACAGTTTGCATACTTAATATGCATTCGGTACTAATTACTAATTATTTTATTTAATTTTAGGTGTTTATGAGTCACCTGTACAACGTATGTCCTATCTATGTCAAGCAATTGCTATTCAAATATTTTCCCACATTTAATTGGATTATTTGTTCTCTTACTAGTGAGTTTCAGAGCTCTTATGTATTATGGTTATAATATATT